TAATGCTCTACTTGAATTTTCAATTAAATCTACATTTACATGTTTACTCTCATCGTGTCATTCGTGTGGAGAGAAACTCACCTTCTACAATTTTATAACAAAAAAATTTATCTGTTTGTTAATAATTATAAGCATTTTAATTACAATATTACTCAAATGTATTGCTCAATATAATAATCAAAGTGGCGTGTCAATAATGAATCAATTGTGTATTAGTGGCAAATATTACAGCAGGTGTTACGTCTTTCCCATTCTGTACAAAAAGAGGATTTACTTTACAAGAGGGGTAATTATTAATTACTATACCGATAAATTTAAAAACAATGACAAATAAATTACGGCAAAACTACTTGGATAATTTGTTTACTTTGCTTCAACAGGAATATCAAAATTACCAAACAAAATTCAACCTTACGGATATGGGAAAATACAATTATGCGAATTATTATCACTCTTTTTCTTGTTCTCTTTATTTTTCCTGTTTTTTAATATTGGTGACTTACTGATCGGTATCGCCATTAACAAAGAGTTGATGACCCCATATGGACAACATAGGATCTACAATGCCGTGTTTAGTTGTCTGAAAACTGTTAGAAATTACAGGAAAAATAATAAATGGCAGCTCTTGTCAGTTATTGAGATAAATAGCCAGATGTTAATTATTCAAATTGCAGTAATTGTGGAGGCAATTTTTTCCTTAATTATTTGTCATGTTGGTCAGGTTCATGTTAACCCTTAAGGAATTATATGAGAATCCTGTTGTGTATTTACTGTTAATTAAGATCATGGTGAAGAGACGAAATAGCACACACACACGGGATTCATTCTCGAGGATTTTATATACCGAGGAGACGAGTCTAAACATTACATTTATCATTATCATTTATCATTTTCATTTAATTGTCAATATGTCAGTACATGAATTATTGGTGATTTTATTAACCTGACGTAATCAGTTAAACATTTCTGTAAAATCGGTGATGGCATTCAGTTATAAACGCAACAAATTATACAAGAAATTTTCATAGAAGCGGAGAAGTTTTTATAGCGTTCCACATTTTTGTGACGTCACATGAGTCGGTGGATAGGATTTTTAGATTAGTTAGGAAGGGGAACAGGATAATTCTCGATGTAATTTTTACAAGAAAAATTCCTGAAAAAATGGATAGGCCGGCCCGGGATTTGAACCCGGGATCTTCCGATTATGCATCGGGTGCTCCCCCAACTGAGCTATCCGGCTCCTAGCCATTTCTTTATTTCACTTTTCTTGTGGAAATTTTTCTGTATTTTCATTCGACTGAACCATATGTGACTATTTAATTTTCAATTTTTAATTTTAATTCTAACACGAACCGAGAACCGTTCGAGGCAATTGAGGATTTGGTAATAATTACCGAATTGCAGTTGACAAAGTTTAGAAATTTAATTCAAACCCGCACCTACTTGATTACAATATACACATGATTGATTTGATTGTATAATCAATTGCGGACAGAATTTAGAATAGAAAAACGATGAACGTTTAGAGCCATGAATTATTAATTTCGTGTCTAATTAAGAGTCTAATTAAAAAATCGGATTGATTGCCGACGCACGCGTGCAATGAACGTATTTGTTCTCAGTGCATTACCGAAATAATTTTCATTAGCCACAATAATTTCGTCCCTTCACGTTTTAAATGAGATAATGATTGTTATTGGTTTATTCATTCTGTCAGTACAGAGAGAAAACTGTGCGACTTGAAACAGTGCTCGACAGAACTTTTTTTACACGAATCCATGCCTGATGAGCGCGCTTTAAGGGTTAACAAGGTGCACTGATGCCTCGAAAATCATTTCGTCCTGTTAAATATGACAAAAGAGAGTATCTTGCATGCCAGATAGAATATTGATTCAGATGAATCGAAAAACGGAGAAGAAAAGATTAAAGTAAAGCGATCGCGTTACATCAATACTGACTGCATCATTTTTATTTTTCGGTGAGAAGCAAGCAAACTCATCAACCCCTTTAATTTATCACCCTTTTACCCCGGCATTAATGATTTAACATTTTACAAAATTGAGATTGATGATTTATGTGCGAGTGCGGCTCTTATTATTATTATATTGTATGTGTGCTACTTTGTTACATCATTGTGTGCAGTAAATGAAGAACAATTTCGCGTGTCCTATACGGAGAGAAATATTCAAGAAAAATTACGGAATATTTCCGGTAATCTGCAAGCGCAGGAATCATCACATAAATTCTATGATCTGTTCTGTAAGAATTATTCATCCGCCCGACGTCTCATGGGTAGCCATGAGTCACCGTG